CTCTCCCCTTCCACTCACGTCAGGGCGTCAAAGCTGAGTGGAGGGGAGAAGCGACGGCTGCTACTGGCAGCAGTGTTGGCGCAGCGGCCCAACTTCCTGATGCTGGACGAGCCCACCAACGACCTTGACCTGCAGACCATTGAGGTGAGTGTTTGTTATGTCTTTCAAGTGTGGTACTCATGAATTCGGTGAGCAAGTGTGTGTGCATGTGGAGGACAGCGGTGTTGGCGCAGCGGCCCAACTTTCTCATGCTGGATGAGCCCACCAACGACCTCGACTTACAGACCATTGAGGTGAGTGCTTCGCGTTCAAGTGTGCTACTCTGCAAGTGTATGTGTGCGTGGGCTCGAAGCAGCAGTGTTAGCGCAGCGGCCCAACTTCCTGATCCTGGACGAGCCCACCAACAACCTCGACTTACAGACCATCGAGGTGTGCCCTCTAGGCTCTTCCGTTGGGTAGTATGTTCCTGAATGAGTGTGTGCATGTGTTTACAACAGCAGTGCTGGCGCAGCGGCCCAACTTCCTGATGCTGGACGAGCCCACCAACGACCTTGACTTGCAAACCATTGAGGTACGTGGCACGTCTTAGCACGCCTTGTTTTGAGACGTCTCGAAACAAATCTTCATACACGTGGCTACCCTTGACTTGCAAACCATTGAGGTACGTGGCATGTCTTAGCGCGCCTTGTAGCTACTGCCGCTTTTATCCGTGGTTGATTTTTGAGGCGCCTCAAAAGCCGCTTTTATCCGCGGTTGATTTTTGAGGCGCCTCAAAAGCCGCTTTTATCCGTGGTTGATCGCCACCATTGCGTGCTGCAAGGGGATGGACCAGAGGAAAATGCACCTCCACAGCAATCCAATGCGCTCTTTCCCGATTGCCTCCGTCTCCCTTCGCTCTCTTTCCGGTTACCATGCTTGCTTTTCCTTGTGCTTCCCTTCCCTTCCTTCCCCTCCTCTCCTCTCCTCTCCTCTCCTCTCCCCTCCAGGCCCTTGAGTCCTTCCTCTCGGCCTACGAGGGCTGTCTGCTCGTCGCCTCTCACAACCGTGCATTCATGGATGCCATGGTTGACCGCCAGTTCGTGCTGCAAGGGGACGGACAGGTGTTGCTCTATGATGGGCTGTTCTGTGCATTTCAGGCTGCTTCCTCTTGTTCTTTCCTTGTGCCTCCTTTCCCTTCCTTTCCCTCCGTCTGCCTTCCGGGTTCCCCTGTTTCCTTCTCTCCTTCTCCAGGCTCTGGAGTCATTCCTCTCGGCCTATGAGGGCTGTCTGCTAGTGGCCTCCCACGACCGTGCATTCATGCATGCCGTTGTCCACCGCCAGTTTGTGCTGCAAGGGGATGAATGGACAGACCCCTTTTTCCCTTCCTTTACCTTCCTGTCCTTTTTGGTTCCCTTGGTTGTGCCCGTGCGCAGGCCCTCGAGTCATTCCTCTCAGCCTACGAGGGCTGTCTGCTAGTGGCCTCTCACGACCGTGCATTCATGGATGCGGTGGTCGACCGCCAGTTTGTGCTGCAAGGGGACGGACAGGTGTTGCTCTATGATGGGCTGTTCTCGGAATACCTTGCTGATGCGCAGGAGCAAAAAGCGGAGAAGGAAAAAGAGAAGGAGAGGGTTGCGGAGGAGGAAAGGAGGAAGGAGGCTGAAGCAAAGAGTGTGGCTGAGGAGCGGAGGAAGGGGGAGGAGGGAGCGGGTTCGGGTGGGAATAAGACGAAAGGGAAGTCGGCTCGGAAGATGTCGTACATGGAGAGGAAGGAGTGGGAGCGGTTGGAGCAGGAGATAGAGAAGTTGGAGAAGAAAAAGGTGGTGGTTGAGGCACGGCTTGAGGAGAAGAGCAAGGCGGGAGATTTTGCGATGCTCCAGGGGTTGTCCGATGAGCTCGCTGCGTTGGGACAGGCTATAGAGGCGAAATCAGATAGGTGGCTCGAGTTAGCAGAGCTAGCTGAGGAGTAGTTTAAATTGATGCAGATGACTTTTTCACTTCTTACGGTACCTCTTGTCCAGTTTCATCCAAAAAATCCTTTATTGTAATAATGTGCGAAAAATGTGTACAGAACCGAAGTAACTTGAATGGTGAATGCCACCTTGTTGTGGGCTCGTGCAGGCCTGGGCGCTTCGTACGAGGTTCCGACCAAACCCACAGCCAGCGACGTGGCCTGCTCCTCTTTGCTGGGAGTGCACGACAGACCAAGTTCCTTCGCAAATTGGTTGCGACGAATACTCGCAGGACATTTTGGCACGACCGACAAATGCGAGTACAGCGGATATTCGCGAATTCTCCATACGCCAATAGAGTAACCACTACTCATCCCTCGCCTGCAACAACTGCCCGCAGACCTGTTGCGGCTGCGATCAGCAGTCAATCGTGGGCTCCTTGCCTGGTAACAAATTCGCTACATCACCTCTCAACGAATCAGAAGCAGCCTAGCGAACCTTTGCAGCTTTGGCGCCTCTTTTCAAGCCTGATTTCCAGGTTTGGAACATTTTGTGGGAGTCTCTAGGCTCCGCCGAACCTTACCGGTCTTGGGAACTTCAGAACAGCGCAACATCGCGAGCAGCACCAGTGACTGCTGCTGTTGCTCTTCCTCCTGAGCTCGTCATTTTGAGCAAGGTGATTCTGAAGGCCGATTTCTGTGGGTGATTCCAAGATGTCAGTTTCAGAAGCACTATGTAGGAGCATCAAAAGTTCCCAGCTGCTTTCTTGAACTTCTAGTGCAGCCTGGGAGTCTTAGTCCTGTAGCATTTCACGCTAACGTTACTGCGTAAGCGGTGCGTCAACCGCTTATAGTTCAGCCTAACTTATCATCTTCCGACTTATGAGGTTGGGAAGTACCGTCTAACGTCGCTAACTACTGAACCTGAAATAGGTCTGCTCGTCTAACGTCGCTAACTACTGAACCTGAGATAGGTCTGCTTCTACTCCGTTCACAATAATGCAACCAACTTCAAGACTCCACTGCTATTCGTTATATCTTACCTCTTAACTTAACCTGAAGCCCTTCTGTTGAGCTCACTTAACAATGACTACAGTACCACTTACTAGCGATGTTACTGACACTTCGTCGCGACGTCACGAAAGCGCGTCCTTTCGACGGTCGTCGCAGGAGCGCAAAGAAGACGTCGCAGCATCAGATAAACACCTGTCTCGCCACGTGTCCAAGACGACCTTTTCGTCTCTTATACGACAGCTTGTTAACGTCCGAAAGTAAGTGGCCTGATCTCATTTTCGTTAGAGCTCGCTTCCTTCCATCTACTTACCGATTAAGTGTTTCTGTTTATTCAAAGGTTTACTGACATTGATAACTCACCTTGGTAATTTCTCCCCACTATATCCCCGCCTCCTTTCCTCTTGGAAAATTGTCAACACCCACTGTAATTGTCGCCTCGGCGAACCAACAGCAAGACCCACCCCTCTCCGTCCCACGACTCTTCGCCTTGCCTGCCGAGCCTGGGTAAACTCCGAAGCTCGCTGTCCGCCGAGCCTCCGTCCGTACCTCCCACTCTTCGTCTAGTCCCTCCTGGCTCGGGGATCATTGGGTGTTCCCAACTGCAAGCCCAGGACTCGTACGGTCACTACGCGCCGAGCTACCTCCAACCTAGAAGAGTGTGTCACCAATGGGAGCCACCTCACATGTAAGACACCCGAATACGTCCTCCCCATTGATGTACTCTACATTCTACATTCTACATTCATAAAAAGTGAACCGAAACGCCCACCTCGTCTCCCCCGTCCCACCATTCGTCACGTGTGTTTCTTCCCTCACATTTTGGCCCCAAACCCCCCACGCCCCCCCTCCCCCCCCTTTCCCCCCGCGCATCCTGTGTCCGTTTATGTGTTTCATTCCTCGACTTCCACAGCAGCCCATCTCAGAGTGTCTTCGAGGTTCTTGCGGCGCAAGCGCTGACAATGGCTTGCGCGCAGCAGGGGCAGCAATCAGCAGCAGAAGGGCAGCTAATACCGCGGAAACGGACACACGGAAGCGAACACAGAGGGGTGTATAGAGAGGGGTATGGACAGAAGCATAGCGCACATAGGGTCGCTGATTCGGGGATGTTGGGGAAGCAAGCAGAGCAAGCCACGGCTAGGGGAGAGGTATCAGCTGGGGCAGAGGCAAGGGCAGGAACAGAAGCAGCAGCACGGACAGAAGCAGAAGCAGGAGAGAAGGAGGTTCGTGGAGTCCTACTAGCTAAAAGCTGCGGTTCAAATCCCAACGACCCTTCTAACCCCCGGCTGCCTCAGGCTGTTGGTCTATTGGCTCAGGATAGTGTACCCCGCGTCTCTCAATCTCAGCCGTCCGATAGTGAAGGGATTTATCTGATGGGGATAGATGCGCTGGAAGCTGCGCTGGCACTGAAAAGACGGGAGGAGGAAGGGGTGGAGGAGAGGGACGGGATTGAAATAGAAGAAGAGGAAAAGGAGGAGGAAAAGGGAGAGGAGAGGGAAGAGGGGGTGGTGTGTATAAAACGGATAGAGGGGACTTTTGGAGAAAGTGATGATGCTGTGAGTGTAGACCGTGTTGTGGTTCTTCGTGGGGCTGCTCATATAGGGGATGCTAAAATAACAGACGGTGAGGGGGAAATGAATGGGAAAGAGGGTGAGGACGACACATGCATCGAGCTAGGAAAGCAGATGCAGTTAGAGTCAGTCGACGCACTTCAGATCAAGGCAGAAGAGGTTTCGGGAATTTCACAGAGAACTTCTGTTAGGGCAGAGGAGGCGAGGGCAGGGGCGGTGGAGACGAGTCCAAGGGCGGCGGATCAGGACCGGAAGCACCCTCGGGGAATGAGGAGGGTGAGATCGGCGGGTATGGGTCACGCAGCAGAAGTTGAAGTGGCAGGAGGAGGAGGGGTGGGGTTTGGAGGAGGGGAACGAGAGCGCGCTTTCACATTGCTGCAGCCGCCGCCGCTGCTGGTTGGTGCGTCTGTGGGAAGGTTCGGGGAAGGATCAGCGGAGGTGAAGGAGCAATGGGGCGAAAGGGACAGGCAGGGAGCGGGGAAAAGGGTTGGGGCGGAGGAGGGTCTATTGGTGAGGAATGTGGCTGGTTCTGTCTGTCAGGAGATTTCTGAGGCGCCTCAAAGGGCTGAAGCCGAGGAACGGGCTGGAGCAGAGGAAGCGGGTGGAGCAGAGGAAATAGCTGAAGGGGAGAAAGCGGATGGAGCAGAGGAAAGAGTTGAAGGGGAGGAAGCGGATGAAGCAGACGGAAGGGCTGAAGGGGAGGAAGTGGATGAAGCAGAGGAAAAGGCTGGTGGCCAGTCTCTAGAAGACATGTCACCATCGCACTCTTCCTCCTGCTCCACACTCCCCCTCACTCGCTCTCCTCTTTTAGCCACCGCCACCACCACCACCGCAGAATCCATTCCCCCTGCCGCATCCCCGTCCCATTCTCCCACCCCGGGTGCACTTCCTTCCCTTTTTCCGTTCCCCTTCCCCTTCCCCTTCCCCTTCCCCTTCCATCTTCCTCCATTCTCTTCTGAGACCACCCCTTCCTCCTCCACCTATCCCTCTCGCCTTACCACTCCAGCCCTCCTCCCACTCCCACACTCCTTCCTCAACACCCCTGCTTCCACCGCCCACTCTCTACACCGCCCTTTCCCCTTGTACCGCCCAATATCGCCCTCAAACCGCCGCTCTCTATCCTCGAAAACGCCTTACAGTCCTTCCTCGTCGACCCTTTCTCCCGCTCTGCCTGCACTGCAAAGTGCAGCACCATCCTCATCAGCGGGTTTCCAAGCTGGTCCGGCCGCAACAGCAGCTGTAGCAGGCTCCAGCTGTAGCAGCGTTCCCGCCAGCGCTGCTACAGCCGGGTGCAGATCGGCAGGCTCCGGCTGTAGCAGCGTTCCTGCCAGTGCTGCTACAGCTGGGTGCAGGTCGGCAGGGTCTGGCATGGCAGTGGGCAGCAGCAGGATGAGCAGTTTTAGCGAGTTTAACCTGCCTCCAAACGCTCTGGACGAAGAGAGGAACCACGCGGCATGGCATGGGGCGCTGAGGCTCAGAGGCGGCAGCAGATATGGCACTGCCAGATGTGCCTCTGCTGAGTGTGACACTGCCAGGTGTGACACTGGCGGGTGTGACACTGCCAGATGTGACTCTCCCAGGTGTGACTCTGCCAGGTGTAATTCTACCGGATGTGCCCCTTCACAGAACGAGAAAGAAAATCAGGGTCTGTCGCCAGGGAGGAGAGTTCTGGGTGGGCTCGCAGGAGAAAGAGTCAGCTACGGGTGGGGTGTGGGGCTTCTGTGGCTTGACGAGGCCCTGAAGAACGGAGGAAGCGAGGATTTGAGTGAACACGGTGGGGCCAGCTCGAGTGGTGAGGCGTCTCAAGCCTCTAGTTACGGCTGGGGCGTGGGGCTGTTGAGGCAGAGAGCCGCTCTGAGGCAAGGAGGAAGAGGGGAAGCGAGGAAGGAAGATCCAGGGAGGAGTGTGAGTGATTATAACGGTGTTACGACACAGGGGAGTGTTTTGAAGCAGGGGGGGGGTGTGGAGGAGCGGAGGAAGGACGCGAAGACCTTGGCTGAGGTGGGTATGATGTGTGAGCGAGCGAGTAGCCATGCTGGGTTCAGCCCCAGTGGAGGTGCCAGAAGGACAGATGGGGGCGGCCATGGCAGCTGCATGGGGAAAAGCAGTGGTTTTCCCCTTAGCAGCACGCAGAATGGTAGCAGCACGCAGAGTGGTAGCAGCACGCAGAATGGTAGCAGCACGCAGAATGGTAGCAGCACGCAGAATGGTAGCAGCACGCAGAATGGTAGCAGCACGCAGAATGGTAGCAGCAGGCATAGCAGCAGCAAAAGCAGGAGTAGCACCGGGCAGAATGGCAGCAGTAGCAGCAGCAGCAGCGGAAACAGCAGACACAAGAGTTCCAATGACAGACGCAGCCATACAAGTAGCGGCAGGGGAGGAAGTAACCACAAGAGCCCAGGCAAGGCTGGAAGCGTAGGCAGTGGCAAGGGGTGGTTCGGTAGAGGCAGCAGGAGCAGGGGTAGTGGGGAGATGGGCAAGAGCAAGACCACTGGGGGGAGCAGCATCGAGGGGGGCAGCTTGGTGGGGAACAGAAGTAGTCTTCTGGCGATGCTGGTCTCGCTACAGAAGTCTCGCTGTCAGCAGCAGGATTGTGAGGCCCCTCGACACGAGAGCCATGTTGTAGAGGGGGCCTCGATGGGGAGAAGGAAGGGGAGAAGCCGGGGAAGAAGCAAGAGAAGTCGGGGGGAGCGGTCAGTGAGGAGTAAGGGGTTGGTTGGACTGATTGAGGAAGAGGAGGAGGGAGAGGAAGGGGAGGAGCGAGAGGAGGGGGAGGAGGACAGACAGGGGGAGAGAGGGAAGGAGGAGGAAAAAGGGGAGTGTAAGGATCTTCATAGCCTGGTGCACGAATGGCTGGAGATGGAAGGAGAGGCTGAGCTGGCGAGTGGTGATTCGCCGATTCTGGACATTATAACGCTCACGGCGTTACTGGGGGCTGCTGGGGTTGGGGTGTCGTCCAGACGGGAGAAGTGGGAAGAGAGACAGATGGGCGTGGATTCGAAGGGAGGAGGTCTGCTGGTCGATGGAGCCGCAGCAGAGCAAGGATCAGCAAGGCCACCAGCAGCAACTGCAGCAGCAGCGTTGGCAGCAACAGCACTCGCGGCAGAGCCAGCAGCATCAGAGTTGGCAGCAGCGCCGGCAGCAGCAACGGCAGCAGCAAAGCCTGCAGCAACAGAGCCAACAGCAGAAACTACAGCCGAGCCAGCAGCAGAACCAACAACAGCGAAACCAGAAGTACCAACAGCCACACTTACAGGAGGAGCTCGTCCGGTGCCGCATTGGCGACCGTGCTCTGGACCAATCGTGGCAGTGGTGGCAGGATCAGGGGTAGCATCAGCCACAGCCTCCCCTCACCGCCCCCTCTCTGGGCCCCTGACTGGGCACAAGCGGAAAAGAAACGGCCTGCCACTGCCCCTCCAGCACTCTGTGGTGAGAAACACCCTTCTCTTACACAAAACCTGGCACGCCACCCATCACCTTGCCCTGTCACTTGCCACGGCTCCGGCTGCTGTGTCTGAGGGCCTGGGAAGCGTGGGCAGGGAGAAGGAGTTGGCTCACCAGTCCCCCTGGTTGCGTGAGAGGGAGACAAGTGAAGAGTGTGTGGTGTTGCTGCCGCTGGCTATGGCATGCGGGGGATGTGACGTTGGGCCTATGAACGCCACCGATGCTGCTCCTTCAGAAACATTTGAACGGCAGGGTAACCCGGTTGAAGATTCACATCAGCAGCTGCCCCTGGCCATGGCGCGCGGAGGATGTGGGGTTGGGGCTATGCACGGCTGCTTTGCTTCTTGGGAGATATCCCCAAGGCAGGGTGGAGCGTTTGAACCGCCTCAGCAGCTGCTGCCCCTGTCTCTAGCGCGAGGGGGATGCCAGGTTGGGCTTTCACAGGCGTTGGAAGGGAAAGACAAGAAGGGGGGAGAGAGGGAGGAGGAAGAGGTGGAGGGGGAAACAATGGAGGGGGAAACGAGGGAGGGGGAAGAGAGGGAAGGGACAGGGGACGGGAGTGGTGGGGAGGGAGGAGAGGAGGGGGGTGAGGGCATTGGGGGAAAGGGAGAGAGCAATGGAAAGGGCGGAGACGGGGGAGAAGGGGGAGCAGGGGGGTCAGGCGGAGGGGGGAGTGATGGGGATGAGGGTGATGGAGAGGGGAGTGATGGGGGAGGAAATGATGGAGTGGGAAGTGGGAATGGGGATGGAGGGGAGGAAGGGGAGGATGGGGAGGAGGAAGATGGCAGAGGCGAGAGAGTGAACGGGGTTGAAGAAGAGAAGAAGGAAGAAGAAGGCGAGGAGGAGAATGAGGAAACCGGGAGAAGGGCAGACGAGGAAGTTTTTGAAGGAAAAGGAGAGAAGTCGTGTTTTCGTACCCAGCACGAGGGTTTGGCAGGGCCAGGGACAATCGCGGGGGTGAGAGCGGGAGAAGCATCAGATGTTGAGAGAGTGGAGGCAGTAGTAGAAACAGCTGATGCGGTCGAGTGTTCATTGACAGGAGGACTTGAAAGTGGGAATAGAATCCAATGCGAGGCAGATGAAGCTGACGAGAGAGAATCAGAGGCAGCTGCAGTTGGGGGAGAACAAAACGAAGAAGAGACGGTAGAGACCGCTGATGCAGTTGCCTGTTCATTGATAGCAGCACTTGAAAGGACGGGTGGAATCCAATGCGAGGCAGCTGAAGCTGTAGAGAGAGAACCAGAGGCAGCAGTCGCAGCAGGAGAGACAAAAGAAAGGGCAGCAAGAGCAAGAGTAGCAGAAGCAGCAGAAGAAGCATCACCAGCAGCAACAACAGCTGAAACTGGAGCAGGAGCGGAAGCAGCAGGAGCAGAACCAGAAGCAGAAGTAGCAGGAGCAGAAGCAGAAGCGGAAGCAGTAGGAACAGAAGCGGAAGCAGTAGGAACAGAAGCGGAATCAGCAGGAACAGAAGAGGAATCAACAGGAGCAGAAGCGGAAGCGGAAGCAGCAGGAACAGAAGAGGAAGCATCAGAAGCAGAAGCAGCAGCAGAAGCAGCCGTAGAAGCAGGATCAGAGGAATTTGAAGGAACAGAAGCAAGCTGCTCTGTAGCAGCAGGAGCAGAAGTGAGAGAAGGAGCCGATGGAAACTCAACAGCAGGAGCAGCAGGAGGAGAAGGAGCAGCAGCAGCAGCAGTAGTGGCAATGGCAGCTGATCAGCTCACTACAGGTTATGCAACGGCAGAGGTTGCTAAGAGTCTCAATATTTCTGAAGCAGGAGCCAAAACAGAAGCAGCAGGAGCAGAATCTCCAGCAGCAGCAGTGGTGGCAATGGCAGCTGATCAGCTCACTGCAGGTTATGCAGCAGCAGAGGTTGCTACTGAGAGTCCCATTGATTCTGAACGGGTGTCCTTTGAGTCGACTCAGGAGGTGACTTTTGAGTCGACTCAAGAGGGGTTGCAAGCCCTGCTGACTATGAAGCAGCAGTAGTAGTGGCAGAGGGAGCTGATCAGCTCACTGCAGGCTATGCAGCGGCAGAGGTTGATTCTGAACAGGGGCCCTTCGAGTCGACTCAAGAGGGGTTTGCTAGCCCTGCTGACTGTGCTGCTGCCTCGGAATTGTTTGATTTAGCTCGGGAGGGGTTTGCAAGCCCTGCTGACTTTGCTTCTGCCGAGGATTTGTCTGATTCGGCTCAGGAGGGGTTTGAAAGCCCGTTCAGCAGCGAACAAGTATTCTTTGAGGCGTCTGAGAAGGATTGCGAGTGTGCAGATGATAATAACGAGAAAGAGGTGTTGTTAGATCAATCGGCTGTTGTCCTCTGTCCAGAGGTTTTTTCTTTTGAGGGTGCTGCTGATGCTGGAAGCGATGGAAGGGGGAGAGCAGGAGGAGGAGCCGTAGAAGGGAGTGAAGCAGGAAAGGGAGATGAGGCTGCAGTAGGAAGGTTTGAGACATCTCAGAACTGTATTTATACCAATGGCAATGGAAAGATGGAGTTTTTAGGTTCGGATGTGAGAGGGGTGGAGGAAGGGGACGATGAGAAGGAGAGGGAGGGGACGGAGTGGAGAGAGGAGGAGAATGAAAGGATAGGGATGGGCGTGGACGAAATAGAGGAGACAGGGTTGACTGTGGGGGATACAGCGGGTGGAGAGGATATGGTGGGGGCGAGGGATATGATGGAGACAGGCATGGATGCGACAGAGGCTTCAGGGTTTAGTGTGGGGGATGCAGCAGTGGATGGAGAGGATACGGTGGGGGGGAGGCAGAGGATAGAGACAGGCATGGAAGAGGCAGAGGAGCCAGGGTTGAGTGTGGGGGAAGCAGCGGATGGAGAGGATATGGTGGGCACCAGGGATCTGATGGAGAGGGTGGGACTGGTGGACGTGCTTTTCAGGCGAATACGGACCCAGTTGGGTAGGCAAGGAGTGGGGGAGGGATTGGGGGAGGAAGTGGGGATGGAAGTGGGGATGGAAGTGGGGAAAGGGGAGGAGGAGAGGGAGGAAGTGGGGGAGGAAGTGGGGAGACGGGAGGAGGAGAGGGAGGAAGTGGGACGAGCGGAAGAGGAGAAGGAGGAGGTGGTAAGAAGAGAAGCAGAGGAGGAGGAAGTGGGGAGAAGGGAGATGGAGAGGGAGGAAGTGGGGAGAGGGGAGATAGAGAGGGAGGAAAGGAGAGAGGAAGTGAGGAGAGAGCATGTGCAGAGTGAGGGAGAGCAGAGAGAGGAGTGTGAAGTGGAGGAATCAAAGAGCGGAGGGAAGCAGGTGTGGGAGGAGGAGGAGGAGAGGGTGGAGAGGTTGGAGCAGCTGCTGCTACGAATCAAGGCAAGGCTCGTGCTCGTCAACTCATCTGCTGCTGCTGCTGCTGGATCATCTGATTCGACTGCTGTCAACGCAGTAGCTGCCGCTGCAGCTGCTGCTCCTGCACCTGCTGCACCAGTCAACTCAGCAGCTGCTGCTGTCCGTTCAACTGAAGGGCCGTCTCGTACCGAGACACGTATAGTAACCTTCGACTCTAACCAAGAGGCAACACCACAAATGGAGACAGCAGCGCGTATGGAGACAGCAGCGCGTATGGAGACAGCAGCGCGTATGGAGACAGCAGCGCGTATGGAGACAGGAAATGACCTGTTATTTGAAACGGTTCGGGATTCACACACGTCGGTCAACTCAGCACCAGTCACATCCCCCTCACCGCACCCACCCAACTTTGCCCCACCACTTGCCTCCCTGGAAACATACCCCTCATACCCCTCGTTAGAAGCACATCCCTTTCTGCCAGACGACCCGTCCCTTGTTGGAACCACATCCCAGGCTCTTTCAGACGCCATCTCCATCTCTCCTGATTTGTCTTCCGCCCTCCACTCCCCCTCCTCCGATCTCCACTCCCCCTCACATTCCCCCTCGTTAGAGTCACACCACTCCCTGCCAGCAGACGTTTCTCTCACTGCAGCCACATCTCAAGCTCTTTCAATCGCCATCTCCAACTCTCCCGATTTGTCCTCCGATCCTCACTTGTTGGTGCAACCCTACGGTTTGCACTCGGCTTGTTGTCCGTGTGCGTGAATGTGTGTGTGTATGGAATGGTATGAGGGCATGGGATAATATATATTTCATGCTTATAATTGTGTGTGAATGTTGAGTCATGATGTCGAGTGTGTGTGTCGAGTCAATAGCGAGTTATCGCTAGACGCGTGTTACGCGGTCGTTTGTGTCTCGCGCGCGGTTTCTATTTTGTCGTGCGCGGTTTCTATTTTGTCTTGTGTCGAACGTTCGGCGTGTCGCAGGTGTGTGCAGCAGACCCATCAAGAACTCAAGGATGAGTTTGTGATGAAGAGCCCGAGCCTTGGTGTCAAGCCTCAAGTGATTTCGAAGCTTGCCAAAAGGGTACACCTCAAGATATTGAAGATAGTTACATTACTTTGTGTAGTGTAACATTTCACTTGGTGTAGGCCCTAGTGAAGGGTAGTTTCGAGACCCTTCGTGGTTGGGGACAGTGTGGCACTGTTCCACATCACTGTACCTCGGCTCTTGGGGTTTGTAGGAGCTGGGAGTCATTCCCAACTCGTAACTCTTCCTATCTTGTGTTCTAAGACTATAGTGGCTGCCATAGTACTGTTCGTTCAAACCGACGCTGTGTCGTCAATTCTTTATCAAATCGTGCAATCTAAATTGCTAATTGTAGACGACGTGAAGACGCTCCAGATCCAATTTGAATCAAGTTATTTGCAGCTGTGAGCAGAACGCTATCAACGTTTGAAGCCGCTGTGCAGAAATCCGTCTGTGCTCTCTATCTTTCGTTTTAGGCACATTCAAGCCTATTGTGACTATAACATCACTCCCCATCCTCCGCCCTCCAGTCCCCCTCTTTAGTATCACATGCCTCGCTAGTATCACTCCCCTCCCTGCCAAGAGATGTTTCCCTCACAGCAGCCATATCCCAAGCCCGTTCAAACGCCATCTCCATCCCTCCTGACTTCGGGGCCGATCCTCATTCCCCTTCCTCCGCCCCTCACTCCCCTTCCTCCACCCCTCCCTCCTCCGCCCTTCCCTCCCCTTCCTCCGCCCCTCCCTCCCCTTCCTCCGCCCCTCCCTCCCCATCCTCCGCCTCTGCCCACTCCCCCACCTCCCTGCCCCCTCAATCGCTCTCCTTCCCCGCCACCCCTTTCTCCCCATCCACATGTGCTTCCTCCTCCTGTCTCTCCCTCCCCCTCTCCCGCCTCCGCTCCTTCTCCCCTCCCCGCACCCACTCTATTCAAACCAACTCTGACCAAGCCAGTGTGTTTGGCCGCTCCTCTTCCCACACTCAATACTCCCACACTCACTCCTCACATACTCGCTACCCCCACACTCACTACTCAACCCACCACACTCACTACTCTTCTCACACTCCCTACTCCTCTCACGCCCTTCACTCCTCCCAGGTCCTGGCCCCATCACGAACTCTCTCCTACCCATCTGCAGCCACTCATATCTCCTCCCATCCCTCCCCACCGTCCTTCACCACGATCGGCACAGCACCATTCTTGTTCCCTGTTGTGAGTGGCGAGGAAGCAGCACCTGAAGCAGCAGAACCTGAAGCAGCAGAACCGGGAAAAGCACCTGAAGAAACACCTGAACGAGGAGTTGAAGCACCACCAGAAGCGTCACCAGCACCTGAAGAATCACCTGAAACGTCTCAGGAAGATGCTGGTGTGTCGGCAAGTGATCAGGCGGAGAGTGTGTTTTCAATCTCCCTTCTGGGAACAACGGGGGAGGAGGAGAAGATAGGAGCAAGCAGCGAGGAGAGCAATGAGGTTACTACCATTGCTGCCAGTGACTCTGTTCCCTCCGCTCCTACTGCATCATACTCTGCCACTGGGCTTATCACGGCGCAGCCAGGCAATCAACCTGACGTCCTACCTGAAAAGCAACCTGACGCTCCACCTGAAACAGCACCTGAGCCCGATCGCACTGGTCCAATAGCCGATGTCTTCTGTGCTCCTGCCGACGGCCAGAAGCAAGCAGTACCAGCAGACTCAGTGCTGGCAGGAGCAACAGCAGCGGCAGCGGCAGTTCTGGCTGCAGTGGCGGCAGTCAAACCCTCATCTCCCTCTCTCTCCCCCAGCAGCAGTCTCCCGAGCCATATCCGTGTGTCCTCCCCCCGTTTTCACCCAACGCAGCCACCCTCTGATTACTTTCCTGCTGCTGCTGCTGGTGCTGATGCTGCTGTTGTTGCTGCTGCTGCTGCTGCTGCTGCTGCTGCTGCTGCCAATGATGCTGCTGCTGCTGCCGATGCTGTTGCTGATAGCCCTGCTTCTGGCAAGAGGGTCAGAAGCTCCTTCAATCTTTCGTATCCAAGTGTCAAGCCTGCCAGTCTCATCACCAAGGTCTTCAGGTCCCCAAGTGGGGAAACCACTAGCAAGACGCCCGTATTCGGCTCGCGTCAGCAGCACAAACCCCCCCTTTCTGACTCGCCACAGCAGCACTCGGCAATTATGAATACCAATGCCGCCACCACCAGTGGTGCCCCCGTGACACCCACGCAATCACCCGTGGCATCTGCCAAGTCATCTGTGACACCCAAGCGATCCAAGAGCTTGTCAACAGCTGCTGCAGCTGCTGCTGCCTCCACCAATATTACACCCATGACACCCAGCAGCGGTACACCCGTGACAACCACAAACTCTTCTGTGACACCCAAGCGATCCAAGAGCTTGTCAACAGCTGCTGCAGCTGCTGCTTCCTCCTGGCTCCGCTCTCTCAAGTCCACCCTCTCCCCATCCTCTTCCTCCTCCTCCTCATCGGCTAAAGCAGCACGCACCAGACAGTCACGTTCCACAGAGCCACACTGGGTACAGTCACCTACTCTGGCATCTGCTGATGCACCCTCTACCTCTGCCTCCTCACTCGCCTCCCTCATCTCCCCTCATCATGCCCCCTACCCTCCCCATGCCCCCTACCCTCCCCATGCCCCCTACCCTCCCCATGCCCCCTACCCTCCCCATGCCCCCTACCCTCCCCATGCCCCCTACCCTCCCCATGCCCCCTACCCTCCCCATGCCCCCTACCCTCCCCATGCCTCCCATCCTCCTCCTCAACCGTTTCCTGCATCCGCCCCTGCAGGTCCTGCCTCCGAACCCACAACTTCCTGGAACCTTCCCCCAGTAGACCTCCCTCCACCTGCTATCGCTTTGGATCCCATCCCACCCCCTTTTACCACTCCTGCCCCTCCATCTGCTCCTCCTCCTGCTCCTCCTCATGGTTCTCTTCTCTCCGCTCTACCCATCTCACCCTCTCCTTCCTCACCCCCTGCCGCTCCTGTCAACACCACCCCCTCCACCCCACCTGTTCGCCCAGCGTCCCCTGCTCTCAAATTCACCCGCTTTGGATTCACCCGGAATTCGCCCCTTCAGAATTCGCCCCTTCAGAATTCGGGTGCACTGGCTGTAGCAGGAAGTGGTTCTTCAGGTGGTGCGTCAAGTGATCAGGTGGCTGTTGCAGAACCAATTCGATCTCCAGTTGTAGCAGCAGCTACAGATATGTCAGTGGTGGCTCCAGCAGCAAGTATCACTGCAGCAACTCCAACGGAGGATGTAGCAGGAAAGGTTCTCCCTTCGGTTGTAATCCCTTGTGGGGATTTAGCAGCAGATTCCCCTGCATCAGTTGAGACCCATGGGCAAGCTGTAGCAGAGGAGCCGTCCCCAGCAGCTGTAACCCCTTCCCAGGATGTAGCAGCAGATTTTGCTGCAAGAGTTGAGGGAGATGGGCTAGCTGTAGCGGAGGAAATCCCCCCTGCAGCTGTAGCCCCTTGCAGGGATGTAGTAGCAGATTCCCCTGCAAAAATTGAGACTGATGGGCCGGCTGTAGCAGAGGAGGTTTTCAATGCAGCTGTAGCCCCTTGCGAGGACGTAGCAGCAGTTTTCCCTACAGATTTTGGGACCGATGGGCCAGCTGTAGCAGATGAGTCGGCCCCTACTGTCCCGTCCGAGGACGTAGCAGCAAGTTTCCCTGCAGAGGTTGAGACCGATGGGCCGGCTGTAGCAGTATCAGTGGAGATGGAAGAAGAGACGACCATTGAGGGTGAGGGAGGTGAAGGGGAGAGAAGTGAATTGGGGGTAAAGGGGGAAAGGGAGGAGGAAGAAAAGGAGAGGAAGGATGGGCAGGAGGAGGAGGGGGGAGAAGTGGAGACAGGGAAGGAGGAAAATGTGGAAGTGAAGGTTGGGGAAGCAAGCTTCTTGGAGGAAGTGAAGGAGGAGGTGAAGGAGGAGGATGAGAAGAAGTGTGAGAGAAAAGATGCGGAAGAGGAGGGTGCAGAGAGAAAGACAGGGTGTGAGTGGGTAGGGCTGCAGGAAAGCACAGCGGCAGCTGAAGGAGAGGAAGAGAGAGAAGAATCAGGTGGTGAGGAGAGTGGTTATGATTATGGTCACGCAGGAACATTGGAAAGTGAGGTAAAGGTCGCTTTACCGTGCCTTTCAGAGGGAAGCATTGCAACCACAAAACCAGCAGCATCAGGCGTTTCAGAAGGGACAGTCACACCACCTCTATCCTTGTGCCTCTCCCCTCCTCCATCCACCTCCCCCTCCTCCACATTTTCCCTTTCTCTCACTCTCGCCCTTGCTTCTCCTGACCCACCTCCGTCCCTCGTCACCCCCACACCACCACCCCTCTCGCTCACCCTCTCCCCCGCCCCACCTCCCTCCCTCACCCTCTCCCCTGCTCTCACCACCCCCATGCCAACCCAACACAGCCTGCACAGCCCCTCACCACCACCTCCTTCCCTCGTCACCCCCACCACACCACCACCCCCCTCTCTCGCCCTCGCCCCCACGCCACCGCCCCCTTCCCTCGCCCTTTCCCCCGCCCTAGCTGCCAGGGTTGCCACCCAACACAGCCACTCACCACCACCTACCTCCCTCGTCACCCCCGGATCACAGCCCCCCTCTCTCCCCCTCTCCCCCGCTCTAGCCGCACGGATTGCCACTCAACACAGCCTGCACAGCCTGCAGAACCTTCGGAGCAGGCTGCAGCAGCAGCGAATGGCGATGCGCCAGCTGGCGGAGGAGACGAGCCGACTGCGGGGGTGGCTTGGGTGTGCTGCTAGCGGGGGAAGCAATGGCACTGGTACAAGTGTACTGGGTGGTGCTGCTGCTGCTGGCACTGGGGGTAGTGGATCTGCTGCTGGTGCGTCTGCTACCACTGCTGGTTCTACTGATAAGTTAGCAGCAGCAAGTGCTGCAGGTGGTATTGCTCCTGCTGCTGTGGCTGCTGTGGTATCTTCTGCTGTGGTATCTTCAGCGGTTTTTGCAGCTGCTGCTGTTTCTGGCACGGAGGCGGTTGCTCGTGATGGTGCTGATGATGCCACTGCTGCGGCTGATGCTGCTGCTGACGTGTCCTGGGTTGCTGACCTGTCATCACCTCCTGAGTCGTTCTTAAGTGGTGCTGACTCAAGAGCTGACCCTGACTCGCCAGTCAGTGCTGACTCGCCAAGTGGCGCTGACGCTGACTCGCCAACACATGCTGACTCGCCAAGTGGCGCTGCCGCTGATTCGCCAACACGTGCTGACTCGCCAACTGGTGCTGATTCATTGAGTGGTGCTGATGATGCAGCGGGAGAGGAGGCTGAACGGAATGAAGCGGATGGAGAGTCAGGGGTCGTTGGAACGGTCGAGGCAGCCAAAAACGTTGAGACTCCTGAAGCGAAGGAGGCTACAGCAGGAGAGGAGGAGGCTGAACGGAATGAAGCGGATGGAAAGTCAGGGGCCACTGGAACGGTCGAGGCAGCCAAAAACGTTGAGACACCCGAAGAAAAGGAGGCTTTTGGGGGGCAACAGCAAACGCAGTGCACGGCAAAAGAAGCCACTACCGAGTCATTTCCTGAGTCGGCTCACAAGGCACTCAAAGTGATGGGGCAGGGTGAGGCACAAGGCACGAATTCAACAACCCTAAACCCCAAGGAAGGGGGGGTAAGTGGAGGAGGGGGAGGAATTGGAGCAGGGGAAATGCGTCCAGCTGATACCGCCGCTTTGGTAACTTTGGTAACTCTTGCTGCTTCTGGGGCTGCACCGAGCACAGTTGCTTCTTCTTCTGGTGAAACAGCCATTGCAGCTTGTGAGGCGCCTCAGAAACCGTCTCTGACTAAAGGTGCTACTGCTCCTCCATTTCCAAGGCCTCGTCTCCCCTTTCCTCTCCAAAGCGAGCCGGCCACGAGGAAGCTGCGAGTGACATCTGTGAGGTGGACCACTCTCTCTCCGATCCAGGAGGAGGAGGGATTGGGCACAGACTCTCACGAATCAAAGCCCCAAGGTAGCGTGGAGCGATCTGGCCTAGATTCAGAGGAATCAGAGTCTCAAGGCAGCGTGCAGCAGCAAGGCAGGCCTCAAGGCAGTATGGAACGAGGCAGGTCTGTGAGCTGGACTGCTCTTACACCAATCAGAGAGGAGAAGAGGATTCTGGGCTCGAATTCCAAGGAGCAGCGATCCCCAACATCCCCTCTGGCATCCCCTCTGGCATCCCCTGTACCATCTTCCCCCTTAGCATCCCCTGCCAAGAGCCCCTTGGTAACCCCTATTGCTCCTCTCCTCCGCCTTAAGATAATTCCATCCCCCCCTCCTGCTTCTACCTCTCCTCCTCCTCCTAATCCTCCCTCTCATCCATCTTTCTCCGCCCCTCTCTCCACCACCTCTTTCTCTTCTGCTGTCGCAAGACTGCTGCCTGTCACTACAGCTGCTGATGATGCTGCTGCTGCTGCTGCTCCTGCTACTCCTGTTGCTCCTGCTGTTCCCGCTGCTCCTGCTGCTGCTTCTGATCCATTCTCGCTGGCGACGTCGTGCAGTGGTGATACTGATTCTGTTGCTGGTGCGGCTGCTATGCACATGCCTGCACATGCCAGCATAGGCCAGAGACCGTTATGCACGCCAGCTTGCTGACATGACAGCGTAGAAGTCGCGTGACGCTGCGGCCTACATCGCCCTTAGCAACCTCCTCCCTGAGTCTGAGGTTGCCCACTTCACTTAGGTTCGCACTGCTAGTGAGTTCCTGACTGCGATCAAGGCCCACTACGCTACTCCCACCACTGTCTCTCTTGGTCGACTTTTCCTCCCGTTCCTGTTTCCTGACCTCGCTTCGTTTGAGCGCTCTGCTGACTTGATCGCTCACCTGCGCTTGCTCGATTCTAGCTACCGCGCTGCCTGCACTGACGCACTGCTTGCAATGCTCCCTCCCCCCATGGCGATTACTATCTATTTCATTGCCACTAGCCTCTCTGACCGCCTTGCCTCGGTTCGCCACGCGCTTCTTCTGAAGCACCCTAGCGAGCTCACTATTGAGGTTCTTGAGTCTGCCCTCAAGGACGTCGAGAGCAACCTCCGCTCAGTAGCCTCCGCCTCTGGGGCTGTGGCCCCTCCACTGTTTCACGGGTGTCAGCTGCCCACCTTTACTGCCTCCCTCGCCACTGCCGCTACTGACGTGACCGCAGCTGCTATTACGACTTCTTCGCGGTCTAGGGGTAGGAGTGGCAGGAGGGGCGGTCAGGGTACGGGCGGAGGCGGCGGAGGTGGCGGAGGTGGCGTGACGAGTGGCGGTGGCGGGAGTGCAGGAGTTGGAGGAGCGCCTCGTGCAGCGCCTAGTGACTCGCCTGCTGCAGCTGGTGGAGGTGACGCTCGGGGACGTCAGACGCCTGCTGGACTGCCGACTACAGGTGCTGGAGTGGCAGCTTGGTACCTGACTCAGCGACAGCAGCAGCCACCGCAGCAGCAGCCCCCGGGGAAGGGGTCAGGACCGCGTCAGCTGTCGCGCAGTGCCGTCCACCCTCCCTGCACCTATATCGTCCAGATAGGTACTCGCCGAGGCCTCTCCTGTGGGCACAGCCACACCCTGGTTCAGTGCTTTGCTCAGCTCACTGACACTCTTCGTGCGGCCTACGGCGTCGACGGCCCTACCCCTGAGTGGCTTCCTTTTCTTCACTCGCACGGTGCTGCCCTGTGGAGCATGTCTGCTTCTCAGTTGCTTGATCTCTTAGGAACTCCTCATGCTATGTATGGTGTTCTTGATTCTAGTGCTTCTGACTCTGTTTACTCGAGTGTTTTTAACTTAGGTGCTAGTGTTGCTGAGATGCCTGTTGCTAGTGTAGGTACTTGTGTAGACACTAGTCCAAGAGCTGCTCCGGAGGATGCATCGTTGTCTTTCACTATGGACTCTGGAGCTTCACACTGTTTCTTCCGCGACCACACGACGCTTACTTTGCTTCTTGCGCCGGTCTCTGTAGCACTGGCTGATCCCACTTCGGGACCAGTAACTGCTCGCTACACTACTACGCTTCTGTGTCCGGCTGTTCCCTCGGGTTTCCTGGCCGGCTTTCACGTCCCCTCGTTCTCCAGGAATTTGGTGGGTGTGAGGCCGCTCGTGGACACTCACGTGGGTGTTTGGATTGAGCCTTCTGGGGACACTGCGACCTGTGCAGACGGTGACACGTACGCGCCCCTGGCCACCTTTCATGCTGAGCCAGGCTCTGGTCTCTACACACTTCACACTGGCCCCCGAGAGAGGCAGCAGCAGCAGTAGCTGCCTCCGACCCCTGTCACTGTCCCGTGTTAGGTCCTCGCGTCTCACCAGGTTGCCACCTCCCAACAGGTAGACGCGTCTGGTAGGGTTCCAGCATCTGGTCCGATTGCTGCGTCTTGCTCGTGTCGGTCGCTTGCCCACCCCACCGTTCTGTAACACCTTGGTCACCCGTCCATTCCTCGCCTACGCACTATGGCTAGTCAGCGTCTCGTCTTAGGCCTCCCGCGAGTCTTGCTGTCGCTGCCGCCTTCGCTTGCACCACCTTGCGCCCCTTGCGTTGAGGGTCGGCTGCGCGCCACCCCTCACTCCTCCTCCCTTCGTCCGACCACCGAGCCCTTCGAGACTCTCCACTTGGACGTTGGGGGCCCTGCCTCGAGCCTTGGCCCTGAGTGTGAGAATTTCTTTCTGGTGGTCGTTGACGACTACTCTCGTTACACCACAGTGTTCCCACTGGCGAAGAAGTCCGAGGTGACTTCTACGCTGGTCTGGTGGTTGCTTACCACTGCGGACACTCGTGGCCGTCGTATCAGTTGTCTTCACTCCGACCGTGGGGGTGAGTTTTGCTCCGGCGTTCTCGAGAGCAGCAGAATGGGGTTGCTGAGTGCCGCATAGGCTTGGTCATGGATATAGCACGTACCTCCATGATTCACGCCCGTGCGCCCCATTTTCTGTGGCCCTGCGCAGTTCGGTACGCCACTTACCAGCTGAACCTCTGGCCACGTGTCTCCCGGCCAGGGGCTTCACCGACCAGTCTTTGGACTGGGTCCCCTGGTGTTGCGTCGTGTTTTCGTGTCTGGGGCTGCTTGGCACTTATTCGTGACACCTCCGCGGACAAGATCTTGCCTCGCGCCATTCCCTGTGTCTTCCTTGGTTTCCCCAAGGACACCTCTGGCTTCACCTTTTACCACCATCCCCTTCACCGGTTCTTTGACTCCCCTGACGTCCGTATTGACGAGTCAGTCCTCTACTACACTAGGTACCCCTGTCGAGGTCTCCCGATTCCTCCTCCCCCTCTCTTCCTGACTCCCATTCCCCCTCCGGCTCCTCAGGTACAGCCTCCCCCCCCCTGGTCCAACCCCGTCAGGTGTGTCACACGCTACCCCCCCCCCTTCCTCTCGGTAGCCCCTCAGGTCTCGTCCCCTTCTCCGCAGTCCTCCTCACAGTCACCGCAGCAGCCGTCAGCACTTCCTCCACATGCTACTACAGACCGTGAGGGTGCTGGTGTCCGTAGCGCGGACCCTGGAGGTGCTACCTCTGGAGGGGTTGGAGTTGGAACTAAGAGTGTGCCTCCACGAGGTTCTGGTTCCGGGGGTGCTGGATTTGGAGCTGAGCCCGAGTCTGCAGGAGGTTTTAGTCTTCGGGGAGCTGGTGTTAGTCGCGCTGTCCCTGGGGGTGTTACGACTGGGGGTGCGGGTGCGCCCACTACGGGACCTGGAGAGTCTGGGACTGGCCGCGTTGTTGCTGGTGGTGCTGGCTCTAGGGGTGGTGCGACTGGTGCTTTGGAGAGCGGTCGTGGGGCTACCACCGCCCCGGACACTACTCCTCCCCCCCACCCCTACCCGACCCGGCACCAGGCCCGTGTTCGCCGTGCACGTGAGGAGTAGCTGGAGTTGGAGCGAGAGGAGAGAGAGTTGGAGCGGCAGCAGCTGGAGGAGCGGTAGGAGCAGCAGCACCAGCAGGCGCAGAAGCTGCAGCAGCAGCCGCAGCAGCAGCCACCGCAACAGGAGCAGCAGCAGTAGCCGCAGCAGGAGCAACCGCAGCAAAAGCCGCCGCAACAGGAGCAGCAGCAGCAGCTGCCACCTCTGCCTCCTGTCTCTGGTCTTCGGACCCTCGGTCTCCCCTCTCCTTCTCCTACCCCCTCCCCCTCTCCCCTTGTCTACGGTCCAACGTTTCCTCCTCCTGACTATGCCCCAACTGTTTTCCCCCGTTCTCAGCCTCCGTTGTCCCCTCCTCTTTCTCACGCTTGGACTTCTCGTTCTCCTCGTGCTCATCCCTTGTCCCCTGTCCCTCTCACTGACCTTCGTACTGTCCTGTTCCGTCCTAGTCCGCCTCGTTTGTCGCCGTCTGTGCTTCCTTCTCCCCCTGAGTCAGCCCTCACTGCTTCCCTCTCTACTCCTGTCACTGACTACTACCGCGCGTTCCGTCCTATTCTCACTCGTGTTCTTGCCTCTCTTGTTACCGACCCCCGTGCTTCTCTGTCATTTGTCTCCATTCTTACTGCCGCAGTCACTGAGTTTGCCTCTACTCGCTGCCTTGACTACGCCACTAGTCTCGTGGCTGCTCCTCCTACCATTCCTATGGCCGTCAGGGGTGAGTCAGCCCTTGGTTGTGACGCCCTAGAGGACAGGCAGTTTGAGCTGGAGTTCTTGGCAGCCGCTTCCCCTCATCTCCGTGCCATGCTGCTCGCCCCTGAGGGATACCCCGACGCCCTTAACATACCGACTCCTCGCACTTACGCTGAGGCAGTGTCAGGACCTTGTGCCTCTCAGTGGAGAGCTGCCATGGACTCAGAGATGACCTCCTACACATCCACAGGCACCTACGTCGACGAGGTTCCCCCCCTTGGGGCGAACGTAGTCGATGGCATGTGGATCTTCAGAGTGAAGCGGCCACCGGGATCTCCTTCGGTCTTCAAGGCGCGCTATGTGGCTAGAGGTTTCAGTCAGCACGAGGGAGTTGACTTCTTTCAGACCTTCGCGCCTACCCCGAAGATGACCACTCTTCAGGTGTTACTGCACGTAGCAGCACAGAGAGACTACGAGTTACACTCTCTCGACTTCTCCACTGCCTTCCTTCAGGGTAGTCTACACAAGGAGGTCTGGCTGCGTCGTCCCTCTGCCTTCACTTGCACTTTCCCTCCTGGGACCCAGTGGAGGCTGAGGTGACCGGTCTACAGTCTCCGTCAGGCTCCTCGTGAGTGGCACGACACCCTTCACTCTACCTTGTCTGACCTCGGTTTCCAGCCGTCTTCTGCCGACCTGTCGCTGTTCGTTCGTCGTGGCTCCACACCGTTCTTTGTACTGGTCTATGTCGACGACTTGGTTTTCGCCACTGCTGACAGGGTTCCTTTCGCTGACGTGAAGTCTAAACTGCAGAAGAGACACACATGCACTGACCTTGGTGAGCTGCGCCACTACCTTGGTCAGCAGATCACCGGGGACAAAGCCGGTCGCACCATTACACTCTCACAGTCACACATGGTGCAGCAGGTCCTTCAGCGGTTCGAGCTTCAACACTCCACAGTACAGCGCACACCTCTTGCCGTTGACCACAGACTCACTGGTCCCTATCCTGACGAGTCGTTTGAGCCTAGTGGTCCTTACGCAGAGCTTGTGGGCTGCCCCATGTACCTGATGACTTGTACTCGCCCATACCTCGCCTTCCCTCTCAGCATCCTTGCTCGCTTTGTTGCGCTAGGGAGACACCGTCCTGCTCACTGGACAGCTGCTGTGAGGGTGGAGAAGTACCTAGCGACGACATCAGGCATGGGGCTGGTTCTTGGAGGGGGGCAGTCTGTCGTACTTACTGGTCACTGTGACTCTTCTTACGCTGACGACGCCGAGACTCACCTGTCTACTCAGGGGTACTGTTTCAGCCTGGGATGTGGAGCTGTTTCGTGGAGGTCCACACGTTCCTCCTCGGTCTCAACCTCTACCGCCGAGGCTGAGATCTACGCTGGAGTCATGGCTGCACAGGAGCTGCACTGGTGGACCTTCTTGCTCACTGACCTTGGTGAGCGGCAGAGCTCTGCGCCGGCCTTGTTCACTGACAACAAGGCATCGATTCTCCTCTGTCGAGAGCCGTGACTGGAGAGCAGAGTGAAGCACATCAACGTCAGGTACTTTCTTCTGCGAGAGTTGCAGAGGCGTGGACAGGCTCGCTTCGACTTTGTGGAGTCCGAGGCCAACACTGCAGACAAGGCCCTTCCGCCTAGTGACCACCAGAGGTGTTGTGTGCAGTTAGGTCTTGTTTGTTATAGTCACAATAGGCTTGAATGTGCCTAAAACGAAAGATAGAGAGCACAGACGGATTTCTGCACAGCGGCTTCAAACGTTGATAGCGTTCTGCTCACAGCTGCAAATGACTTGATTCAAATTGGATCTGGAGCGTCTTCACGTCGTCTACAATTATCAATTTAGATTGCACGATTTGATAAAGAATTGACGACACAGCGTCGGTTTGAACGAACGGTACTATGGCAGCCACTATAGTCTTAGAACACAAGATAGGAAGAGTTACGAGTTGGGAATGACTCCCAGCTCCTACAAACCCCAAGAGCCGAGGTACAGTGATGTGGAACAGTGCCACACTGTCCCCAACCACGAAGGGTCTCGAAACTACCCTTCACTAGGGCCTACACCAAGTGAAATGTTACACTACACAAAGTAATGTAACTATCTTCAATATCTTGAGGTGTACCCTTTTGGCGAGCTTCGAAATCACTTGAGGCTTGACACCAAGGCTCGGGCTCTTCATCACAAACTCATCCTTGAGTTCTTGATGGGTCTGCTGCACACACCTGCGACACGCCAAACGTTCGACACAGGACAAAATAGAAACTGCACACGACAAAATAGAAACCGCGCGCGAGACACAAACGACCGCGTAACACGCGTCTAGCGATAACTCGCTATTGACTCGACACACACACTCGACATCATGACTCAACATTCACACACAATTATAAGCATGAAATATACATTATCCCATGCCCTCATACCATTCCATACACACACACATTCACGCACACGGACAACAAGCCGAGTGCAAACCGTAGGGTTGCACCAACAAACTCCCCCTCGGATTGTTGGCCTTAGGATATGTTGCTCTCTCAGTTCAGAGCCATCCCAGCCAGCTTGCAACACTTCCAATGCTGCTGCTCCACCAGCCTCTTGGTCATCATGTCAGCCGGCTGCCCCGTGGTCTTCACGTAGCGCAACTCAACTTCACCCGCGGTTACCATGCTCCTCGTCCAATGCCATTTCACCCTCATGTGCTTCGTGAGTCCATGCAACACAGGGTTCTTAGCAAGAGCAATGGCACCCTGGCTGTCACAGTACAGTGGGGTAGGTCCTTGCTGCTCCTCCCCCAATTCAGCCAACAAACGCCGCTGCCACACAATCTCCCGTACGGCACGGAAGAGTGCCATGTACTCGGACTCCACCGAGCTCAAAGCTTGGTCAACCTGCTTCTTGCTCTCCCAAGCAGTTGGGCCTCCACCAACACAGCATATGAAGCCTCCCACACTTGTCATGTCCTCTGGTTCTGATGCATATGAAGCATCCGAGTAGGCGGTGAGGAACAAACGCCCGGGTTCAACACCATCCGCGCCCTTTTGGCGCCTTTGTGCCGCCGCCGAGTATTGCAGCCCAACGGTCGGTGTTTGGCCAAGATACTTGGCCACCCTCATTCCAGCTGCTACCTGCTCCTCATTAGGGCATTGCACAACCCTAGCCAGCTGCCCGGTAGCAAACGCGACGTCCGGTCGGGTGTTTACCGCCGCATACATGAGGCTGCCCACCAACGAGTGAAATCGGCGCCTCTCCTCTTCACCAACGCTCTCCTCCTCTGGTCCCTTCACACACTTGAACCCAGAGGGAAAGGGTGTAGCCACATGGCCTTCACTCTGCCCAAAGTTGGCAGCCAATGCCTCCAGGTACTTTCGTTGATGCACCCGCATGCACCGCTTCTCCACATCTCGTTCGATGTGGAGCCCAAGGTAGAAGCTTACGTCACCAAGGGCCTTGCACTTGAACTTGTCTTGAAGCTTCAGCATCACCTCCTTCACAAGGTCAGAAGAGGGTGAGAAAATGAGGATGTCATCCACATAAACCACCATGAAACTCCTCTGCTCCCCCTCGCCAAGCATGAACAAGGAGTGATCGGCCGTTGAGGGAGTGAAGCCGATCCCCTCCAACACTTCGCGCAGCTTCATGTACCATTGCCTAGGGGCCTGCTTCAGCCCATAGAGGGCCTTCTTCAGCTTCCACACTCTGCCACTACCATCATCAAACCCCTCTGGCTGCGCCATAAAAATCTCCTCCTCAAGGATGCCGTTAAGGAATGCCGTTACGATGTCCATTTGCTTTACTACCCATCCTTTGATGGCGGCTCCCGCGAATAGGGTTCGCAGCGTCGTCGGCTTCACCACAGGGGCAAACAGCTCCTTGAAGTCCACCTTCTCCTTCTGCTGGTACCCCTTGGCTACAAGCCTAGACTTGTAGCGCTCGATCTTGCCGTCGGCATCCGACTTGATTTTGAAGAGCCACTTGGACGTTATCGCCGTACGCCCCTCCGGTAGCTCCACCAATTCAAACGTGTCATTCTCCTCGATGTTCTTCAGCTCACTCTCCATGGCCTTCTTCCACTCCTCAGCATCACTACTCTCCAAAGCCTCCTTGAGAGTTGCTGGTTCTCCCGGCATCTCCACCGGAGAGAAGAACGCGAAGGCACACTCCTCGTAGTCACTCTCCTCGTCGTCTCCGACCATCATTGCCGCTCCGGCCAGGGCTGTCTTGCCCTGCTTTCCCGGCGCATCATAGGTCAGCCTATTAGGGGGTTGAACTCTCCTCTTCCCCCTTCCTTCCTCCTCAGCTGCAGGGACTTGAAGGCCTTGGCGTTGCTGCGGTGTGGCTCGAATCCGTGGAGCACTCGTAGTACGGGAAGGGAGTGACGGTGCACGCTCGCTCACTTGCTGCACCTCCTCCTCTTCTTCCTCTGCATCATTGGCCTCCTCTCCCCCATTCACAAGGGAGGATTGCCTTGTGGTTGTGCTGCCGCTGCTCAGCTCCAAAGGCAGCTCCACATGCTCCAAACCGGAACTCTTCACCTCCCCAAACCGCACGCCTATCTTCGCCTCATTCTCCGCCTTCCAATCCTTGTACATGAAGTTCTCCATGAACTTGCAGTCCCTGCTCACCAAGAACTTCTTGGTGAATGGGTCCCAAAGAAGCCATCCCTTGCTGTTTTGAGCCATGCCCAAGTGCACGGCCCACACCGCCTTGGCACCAAGCTTGTTGTGCCGAAGATGCTTAGGCACGAGCGCCATGCACATGCACCCGAACACCCGAAGCATATCCACCTTTGGCTTCCTTCCTAGCCACTCCACATAGGGCACCCATTTGTCTGCTCCCACATGAGTCAAGGCTCTGTTCTTGGCCACACACGCGCTCCGCACCGCATCAGGCCAGAAATAGTCGGGTAGCCCGGCTTCAATGAGCAACCCGCGTGCCGCCTCCGTGATTGTGCGGTTCGCTCGCTCGGCGATGCCGTTCATTGCAGGGGAGTATGGCATGGTGAGGGAGTGCCGAATACCATTCTTCTTCAGCCACAACCCAAACTCCTTGCTCAGGAACTCTCCCCCTCGATCGGTGCGAATTGCCTTGACTAGCCGGTCTTGTTGCCGCTCCACCATCGGCAACCAATCGGTCTTCAACGTTTCAGCCACGTCGCTCTTCTTGGCCAGCACGTACACCCAAGTCATGCGGGTGTAGACGTCGACAATGGTGAGAAAATACTCAGCTCCAGCAGCTCCAAGCTTCAGGGGGCCCACCACGTCCATCACCACCTCATCAAGCGGTGCCTTTGCCGTTGCCTCCGAACTAGGGAACGAAAACCGGGTGAACTTGGCTTGAATGCACGTCGGGCAGCCAAGCACCTCATCGGGCTCCCCCTTCACACGTATGCCAGCAACCATCTCATTCTTCACTAGCTGCTGCAAGATGGGCAGGGCCACATGCCCCATGCGCCGATGCAAGGTGAGCCAATCACACTCCCCCGTAGCCGAAGTTGGATTGGAGAATGCCGCGCTCGCAATAGCGCCCCACATACTCTCTCCGTAGTCCTCCTCCGCTGCTGCCTCGGGGTTCTCCTCACCCTTTTGCTGCTCCTTGGTTGCTGCACCACTCTCCTTAGGTTCACTGAACTTGCTGGTCCCTCCAGGTTTGCTCTTCTTGAGCTCATTCTCCTTAGCGCGACCGTTCGCGCCATCGTCGCTACCGACCGCTCCATCCTTGGTGCTGATGCTTGCTGCCACTTGCCTCTCCTTAGGCATAGGGACCACTGGGATCTGCCACATCTCGTTGCAGAGATCCCTGTCCTCATGAAGGTCCCAAAGAATTCGATCGCCAAGCCTTGCGGTGTAGGTCTTGGCTCCCTTCGAGTTCGTGTCCATGCCGGCCTTTGCCAACCGCCGCACGGAAATCAGGTTTGCAGCAAGGCTGGGCACCCAAAGCACGTTCTTGAGGCCCACCATCTTCCCATCAGCACCCTTGAACATGGCCTTGCCCATGCCTTTCACCTCTGCTCGCTGCCCCAAAGCCGATGTGACATGCTTCACCGGTGACGGCTCGAGTTCGGTGAGCAAGTCCGGGCGAGGTGTCATGCTATAGGTAGCGCCACTATCAATCACCCAATAGTCCAGGGGGTGTAGGGTCACCTTCCCCACAGCTGCTGGCTCCTCAAAGCCTTCATCCTTCTCTGGACCAGCCGGTACTTGCGTCGACACGAAGTAGAATAGACCCGGGTATCGATCGTCGCTCGGGTCCTTGTCGTTGTCTCCGCTCTTCATGTTTGCAGCTCCGCCACCGCGACCGCCACGGCCTCCACGGCCTCGTCCTCTCCCTCCTCCTGCTCCTCTACCCTCTTGGCCTTGAGCAGGGGTCCAACCATCAGGGAGTTTGTAGCAGTCGCGCCACATGTGTCCGCTCTTGTGGCAATAGTGACACTCGCCGTCGAATCGGCCGCGACCGCGTCCGTAGCTCTTGTCGTCGCTGCCGTAACCGCCACTCCTGCGGCCTCCGCCGAAGTTGCTGCCACCAAACCTTCCTCCCCCTCGTCCTCTGCCTCTTCCTCGACCATATCCACGGCCGATGCTCGCTGCCCCAGCGCCATCCGCACTCGCCAACTCACGGCGGCGGAAATCCTCTTGAAGGATAGCTCGCTTCACGTCTTCAAGCGAGAGGCGGGGCAAGTCGCAATTAAGGTTGATGATGAGCGAGGACCATGACTCTGGGAGTAAGGCCAGCAACTTGGTCTTCTTTTGGAGCTCACTGTAGTTCAAATCAGCTACCTCAAGCCGCGTCAACAAGTCGAAGAATTTCTGCACCCCTTCTTCAACCGCTTCGTCTTCTTCAATTCGTAGTGCCGCCATTTGCCGTTCCAACACCACCGCTACCGCCGCTGTTGCAGGAGCATGTACACCCTTGAGAGCAGCCCATGCCTTTGGTCCTTTCTCTGGTTCACGCTGGAATGGCTTGATGTGACGGATCTGACTGCTCCCCAACGCTTGCCCAAGTAAGAGATAGCCTTGTGCGCTCTTCCGCACCCACGGGCTCTTCTCCGGGTCGTTCTCGGGGCGCTTCTCCGTTCCTTCCATCACCTCCAGCAGGTCATAGTGGTCAAAGATGTTCTCCATCTTGAAGGACCATTCAGCAAAGTTGTCACCGTTGAACTTGTCAAGACCAAACACCCTAGGCTCATCCCTAGGTGGGCCAAGACTTGGTTGCATGGGCGCCATGGCTGAATCACGGGGTTGGCCTTGAGCTTGAGCTTCTCCACTGCCACCAGCACCTCTGCCACCCCTTTCCTCAGGTCCATACATTGTCGAAACTGCTCCAAGGGCTCTGATACCACTTGTTATAGTCACAATAGGCTTGAATGTGCCTAAAACGAAAGATAGAGAGCACAGACGGATTTCTGCACAGCGGCTTCAAACGTTGATAGCGTTCTGCTCACAGCTGCAAATGACTTGATTCAAATTGGATCTGGAGCGTCTTCACGTCGTCTACAATTATCAATTTAGATTGCACGATTTGATAAAGAATTGAAGCGTCGGTTTGAACGAACGGTACTAAGGCAGCCACTATAGTCTTAGAACACAAGATAGGAAGAGTTACGAGTTGGGAATGACTCCCAGCTCCTACAAACCCCAAGAGCCGAGGTACAGTGATGTGGAACAGTGCCACACTGTCCCCAACCACGAAGGGTCTCGAAACTACCCTTCACTAGGGCCTACACCAAGTGAAATGTTACACTACACAAAGTAATGTAACTATCTTCAATATCTTGAGGTGTACCCTTTTGGCGAGCTTCGAAATCACTTGAGGCTTGACACCAAGGCTCGGGCTCTTCATCACAAACTCATCCTTGAGTTCTTGATGGGTCTGCTGCACACACCTGCGACACGCCGAACGTTCGACACAGGACAAAATAGAAACCGCGCACGACAAAATAGAAACCGCGCGCGAGACACAAACGACCGCGTAACACGCGTCTAGCGATAACTCGCTATTGACTCGACACACACACTCGACATCATGAATCAACATTCACACACAATTATAAGCATGAAATATACATTATCCCATGCCCTCATACCATTCCATACACACACACATTCACGCACACGGACAACAAGCCGAGTGCAAACCGTAGGGTTGCACCAACATTGTTGACACAGGTTATCGTCTTGCGTAGACTTGAGTTCTCTACTTAGTTTGTTTGTATACTTTGCTTATACCTCTGTGAACTCTTGAATTGGCTTTGTGGCCCTTTTGCTAGTGCTCAGACTGTGTGGTGACGTTGTGATCCGCCCTGAGCTTTGCTGTTGTGTGATTGGCCTTGTGACCGTACTGTTTTGGTTTTGCTTGACACCACTCACTTAGGCTATGGGGGTGTGTCAAATGTTGTAGCCGTTAGTGATGTGTGCCATATAGGGTACAACAGTTAGGGTTAGGCTTATGTACTCCAACCAACCTTAGATCTGTTGGAAACAACTGATTTAGGCGCCTCTGTCGTGTCGAAACACCAAGACAGAAGCGAAGCAGCTCGTATCGAAATATCGGTGAGTCAACCCTCGGAGGTTGAATAACTGTTGGAGGTTACGCGAAAGTCAAAGGTCAGCGACCTTTGACCTGACAAATGCAGCGCGACAGCAATGACAAACAACTGTCTCGATACTGAGCAGTTGCCCGAGTCGACACTGTATCGAACCGCAACAGCAACAGTAAAACATTTAACTGTATCTCTTCATATTCCTTTGTATTCTTATAAAAGCTTGTATCTCTTTTATTATCATCAACTTACTTTGCCCTCACATACAAGCGCAAGGTGGTTCACAATCATTCATTAAACGCTTCCGCTATTACATCATCCTACCCTTGAGTTCTGCACTGCAAAGATCCTAAGGGCTTTCTCAGCCCAACAAGTTCAACCATCATTCAGTTCTTAACATAGACCCCCGGGTCTATAATACCGGGGGGGAGGGGGATGGGTACACTGTATGGGTCGTTTGCAGTTATACCTCCCTAAATGGGGGTTGACATTATAAGACCCCCCCCTTTCCCCTAGCTACCTTGTCATTTTATAGCCAAACAATTATATTTTTGATATATTTTCTACATATTTCCACTACAAAGCCCATAAAAAGTTCATTGCCAAAATGCCTTCGCTATTTAATCACTTCTCTCATGCCTTGGCTGAGTGTATTGTTTGCTTCTATAGTGCAATCTTAGTTAGTTCACTAGGTTGTACTCGTAACAATTTATAATATAGAGACGAAATGCTGGAGGGCCGCAGTTTGAGAGGTGGTTGCTGCTGACGCGTGAGGAGCACTTGCAGACCAGCTTCGCTCACAACACCTGAGCAACCGGGATTCTGGGTGTGCTCAGAGAGGGGCCTTTTTTGGATTGGGCCATGAATGCAGTACAGTAATGGGTTGCAGTTTTCTGTTTGCACTTACTTGCCTGGCTCACATTTGATGCACTTTAGCGGTTGGCTATGATAGAGAATTACTTCCCTTTACCGTTTTGAACCGCTACATACCAGCCTGGACAGTGAAACATGAGCTGCAACGAACGTGCGACCCACCCTGAACTGCCATAGAACCCTAACTGGTGCAAAGCGCCTCCCTCACTTCGTTCATGGTGCTGACAAGAGCGGGGATGAACGACACGCAAACACGATCATTGAGGAAGCACACTTGTGAGGTGGGGGCAGGAGGGCGGGAGGAGGGGGGGTGCGAGCAGGGTCAAGACCTTGGTAAAACCGTTGGATTAGTTTTTTCAGGTCAGTAATAGCTGCCCTTCTTGTGTAAGTGCTTTCGTCCAACAATTATTGACTACCCTGAAGTGAATCAATGGTTGTTGAGTGGCTTCCGAGGGGTGTGGGAAGCTTCAATTCAACAGCCAATGTTGTACTGTCAACCTCCCAGAAAGGGGGTCGACTTGCCGCAACTTGAGCGTAGGCAGTAGGACTGAGGACGAGGTTAAAGTGTCGATCGACGGCAAAACATCGATCCGCCACCGGACTATAGCTTTGTTTAGCGCATTTCAAGCGCCCAGATACTCAGATTGTTATTTTCCTCGCAAGCTTGGGGGTCAAGGACGTGGACCAAACATAGTACACCCAGACTAATCGTGAGGGTGTTTATCCAGAGTTCATGGCGGGAACGAATCACTGTAGCACAGATCCTCTGATGGTTGCTACAATCATAGTGTCCCGGCAGTTTGTTCCGCGTAGCAATCAAGTTGTCACGCCGTTTGTCCGTATTCGGGACTGAACCAAATTGCTGGCAGAAGCGAATGTCATTCCCTGACCATAATTCAGCGAATGAGAGAGTCGGGAATTTGGCAAACAGTAACCAAGCGACCTTCCATACCGCGTCATGGGGGCAGCGCTCCGCAGTCGCCAATGTGCTGTACGCGGAGCGGCTCGCTGGGAAATTGAGCGTACACGCGGAGACATTGGAAATTGCACACAAATTTCACAGCTGTGCTATGTGCACAGTAGACAGTCCTGCCTCGTGCATTCCCCCCGTTCTTCGGAAGAAGTTGCGCGACAGTAGCTCATGATACGCGGAGCCATCCGTGCTGGCACAGGCTGCAAGGAAGCCCTACATATAGAAGCCGCTGCAGATAACGGCAAGTACCTCAAATCTCGAAGTAAAAACGCAGCAACAGCCTGATTCAGTCGCGACCCTTGCGTCATCCCGTACGCATATAAATGCTCACGGCAGCGTCGTTGTTGATCGTCGTTTTTGACACGATAGAATTTTGTGCCGTGAGACTCATACGATTTTTCGCGATCAGTTGAGCTGATCGTGTGCTTCGGCAGCGCTTGTTGATCCGCCTAAAAGCTATTTTTCCATTCAGTTGACACGTCGAAGCTGAGGCTAGCTTCTCGAAGCTGATCCACAGAGTTGAATACGGCCCCTAATACGTGCTCCCGTTCCATAATAGCGCGTTTATTCCTTATTATAGCGCGATTTGTTCCGTAATTGCACGATCGTAGTATGGACCCGTACTGGGAGTGGGACGACTGCGACACTGGCTTGGTTCTCGTCAAGCAAGAAAGCGACGCCGCTTCTGCCGCCGCCACAGCCGCCGCTGCATCCGCCGCACCCAGCGGCGGGGAGCAAGGTGATGCCGCGGGCCGCGCAATCGTCATGGAATGGACACCCGCGACGTTGGCGGCAGTTCCGGCAGCAGGAGCATTCGCGGAAGCATCGGGAGCGGCGTCGCTGGTGGCGGCATCCCTGCCAGGTGGGTTCCGTCGCCCGGCACTGACTCCGCTCATTACCCCCCCAAAGGCGGCGACGGCGGCGGCGGCGTCTCATCGCCCCCCTTCCCCCCTCACCAGCGGGGGCTGCCGCGAGTTTTCCGCCACCTCTGCCGCTGGGTCGGCACCGAGCCATTATGGCGCTGGTTCGGGGGGGCCGAGCCCCTCTGGCTCGGGACCCAGCCTTGCAGGCTCGGCACCCAGCCCCAGAGGTTCGGGCCCCAGTCCTGCAGTATCCACCGCCGCATCACACGCAGAGGCAGAAGCAGGGGCGGTGCTGTGTCCTTCTGAAACCGTACGACGGCAAGGAGCCGTACTCAAGACACACAGCTTGAAACTGTACGTGCTGATAGATGAAACCCAATGGTTTCTAGAGTTTGGTCATTAAGGAACCCTCAAACCCTCATCTCAACTCCCCTCATCTCCATCCTTGCTTGAGTCTTCATCTCATATCCTTGCTTCTCCCTAAACAAGGTACTTACCTCCTTCCTTGCTTCCTTTCTGCTCTCTCCAGGCCCCCACCTCATCCTCGCCTCATTCCCTTTATAACGACCTTCATTCTAATGCCATTTGGTCTTTCCCAAATCACTCTGCTCTCGCCCCCTCTCCCTCTCCCCCCATCTCCTTTCCTGTCCTCTCCTCCTAGCATATCCTGCAGCAAAACCTCCTACCAGGCCTTATGCCCACCCTCCTCTCCTCTTACTAACCTTTCCTCTCCTCTCTTCTCCTCTCGCCTTCGCATTGCAGAACTGCACACCGTGCCAAGTACCTTGCACGTTCAAGATCCCGGGGAAGCAGCACTGCTGCTACAGCAGCTCCTGCTGCTGCCACCCCAGCTGCTACAGCCGCCGCCGCTGCTGCTGCCGCTACAGCTGTCGCTACAGCTGCCAACCCAGGAATGGGCGCTACAGAGATTGCAGCCACTCCGGACCATCCCCTATCCTTTTTCCGCTGCTCTGC